GGCCAGTGGGTAAAGGAGCCAACAACCTGAGTTCCCACAGGATGGAAGGAAAGAACCGACTCCCACTGGCTGTCCTTTGCCCCCCCACACACAAAACAAACAAAATGTGAGAGAAGAGAGATTCCTTTTTCAAATGCTGAGCAAAATGACCTAAAGCAGTGATTCTAACCTTCCTAATGCTGTGAGCCTTTAATTCAGACAGGTCCTCATATTGCGATGACCCCAACCATAATATTATCTCGTAGCTACTTCATAACTGTATTTTTGCTTGATGACCTGAGTCCAACTCCAGGGACCCAGAGTCCAGGACAAAACCAACTTCTGATGATTGTCTTCAGACTTCTGCACATATAATAAAAATAAAAATGTGTAAAAACTGGGTTAGAGGGATGGCTGAGTGGTTCAGAGAGCTTGCGGCTCTTCCAGGAGACCCAAGTTTGATTCCTAACACTCTCCACACATAAACAGTAAGATAAATCCTAAAATAAACTTTGAAAATAGTTGTCCTCTCCAACCAAGAGACCCCAGAATAATTAGAGCAAGGACCCCAATTTTTGTGTTTTACTTTTCAAACATCCCAAGTGATTCTGGTCTGGGTGGACCTTTTTGTTTTTTGAGATAGGGTCTTGCTTTGTAGGCCAGACTGACTTTGAATCAGTCCTGCCTCAATTTCTGGAGTGCCATAGGCATGCATTACTACATCCAGGACACCAGGTAACTCTGTTCCAAGTATTTTCTTTTCTTGGCCAGGGGTTGAGATAGGGCTTGATTTGTAGACTAGGCTGTCCTAACACTTCATAGGTAACACAGTCTACCCTAGAACTCAAGGCAATCCTCCTGTCAAATGCTGGAATTACAGTCATGTACTACCATAACTAACCCGATGCAGAAGTATTTCAAGAATACTTTACTCACCAGGCGTTGGTGATGCACGCCTTTAATCCCAGCACTCAGGAGGCAAAGGCAGGTGGATCTCTGTGATTTCAAGGCCAGCCTGCTATACAGAGCGAGTGCCAGGATAGGTTCTAAAGCTACAGAGAAACCCTGTCTCCAAAAACAAAAACAAAAACAAAAAAAAAGAAAAGAATACTTTTACTCATGCCGGGCAGTGTTGGCACATACCTTTAATCCCAGCACTCAGGAGGCAGAGGCAGGTAAATCAGTGAGTTTGAGGCCAGCCTGGTCTACAAAAGTGAGTTCCAGGACAGCCAGGATTGTTACACAGAGGAATCCTGTCTCGGAAAAACAAAACAAAACAAACAAAATACTTTACTCTCTGCTGTGTGACACCAAACCACTGAAGTTCTTCAGAAGTTTTAAATTTCTCAACTCTAAAGGCTGGTGTGAAGCTCAGCAGGTAAAGGTGCTTGCCACCAAGCTTAATGACCTGAGGTTGATCCCAAGGGCCACCTTATCCTCTGACCCCCATAGGTATGCCCTGGCATGTATGCCCCACATAAATACATGCTCACTCTACATTTTTTCTTTCAAGACAGGGTTTCTCTGTGTAGCCCTGGCTGTCCTGGACTCTCTGTAGAGTCACAGAGACCCACCTGCCTCTTCCTCCCGAGTGCAGAAACTATGTGCCACCACCACCCAGCCATATAGACTCTAAATAACTAAATGTAAAGAGAAAAAAACGAGGCTTCAGACCAAACAGTTTGTAGTGCACTTAACACCATTTGGTTATAAATGCTGATTCACCAGTTCCACAGCACCAAAATAAGGAAGTCCTGGATGGGTGTACAGAGCCATCACCACATCCTAAAACACTTCTTTCTAGAGATTTAGGCTTTCTTCTTTTTAAGAAACATTTTACTTTTTTGCCTACAGGGTGGTGATAGAATTGGACAGGAACAGATATGTATGTGGAGAGCAAAAGTGGGCAACACAAGAAAATTGGTTTTCTCTCCATCTTCTGGACCCCAGGGATTAAGCTCAGGTCTTCAGTACTGATAGAAAGTGCCTTAACCCACGGAACCACCCTACAGTCCAAAATTTCTAACTCATGATGGTTTTTTCCTCTTAGGGGAGAGGAGATCAAACGCCAAACCACATACCAAACTGGGCAAACTACCACTGAACACCTCCAGCCTCTGTTCTATTTACACATTTCTTTTTCCACGGTCTTTCTCTTCTTTGGTTTTTCAAGACAGGCTTTCTCTGTGTAGCAGCCCTGGCTGTCCTGGAACTCTCTTTGTAGGCCAGGCTGGCCTCGAACTCACAGAGATCCACCTGCCTCTGTCTCCCAAGTGCTAGGATTAAAGGCATGGACCACCACCGCCCAGCTGTTTTTCCACTTTCATACTAAAAATTTTTACCTAGGGTACTCCTCCTTGGAACCCTTCTTACTCCCTGCAGTCTTTTTCACTTTTCCTTAATAAATCAACATTTGCTCTACTAAAAACAAATAAACTTTGTTTCCACTTATTGTCATATCTGACAATAAGCCCTGGTCAGCTGTGCTCTTTGCTTCCTGTCCCTCTAATTTTGTGACATGTGAGAAGTTCTCGGACATATCACTTAAGTACTTTCAGTTCTGCAAACAAATTTTACAAAGGCAAAAAGCCAACACAAAATATGCAGCAGAAAACATTCCACTTTTTATATCATTGATGCAAAAAATATTTTTAAAAAATTAACACTTCTGATGAACAAATCCAGTTTGCTTTTTATGGCAGACCACTAAGGCCAGTTTTTAATCTAAACAAAGCTACCTGCTTTTGGAAAACCAGTTTAACAGAGCTGAAACTAAACTCATTTCATCAATAACTGCTAGCTCCTCCCATTTTCTTTTCTTTTCCAGTACCAAGAACTGAGACCAAGGTCTTACCCATGCCAGGCAAGTACACTCACTACTGACTTACAACCCCAGTCCCTTTCCTACCTGAAATCTAAAATACACCAGGTGGTAGCACACCCCTTTAATCTTAGTACTGGGAAGGCAGAAGCAAGCACATATCTGTTGAGTTCCAGGACAGGCAGAACTACAAAGTGAGATCCTGTCTCACAACGTCAAACACAACCCAAAATACAATTAGTAAATTCTGTCTTATCCAAGAATTGCACATATATATATTATACATGAACATTGTTTTGTAGTTACTAGAAGTTTTAGAAAGCAGAAATCATATGATGCTCGTATGTAAATGGAGGGAATTGATTTATCATTTACAAAAACATCTGGTTGCTACTCTCAAGTCTCCCATGATGAGTCTATAACCACACTATGAGGTCTTTGGAGCTTCCTTAGAACCCACACCCTATGCTCTTGGGTGTGTCTGTCTTTCTGAGAAAGTGGCTCTTTCTCAAACCTCATGCTTAAGTCTCTATTAAGTATCTTTATAAAACCCCATCTTGGGCCAACAAGATGGCTCAGTAAGTAAGGCGCTCGATGTGCAAGCCTAACAATCTGAGTTCAATCCCAGAACCTATGTAAAAGGTGGAAGGGAGAGCCGACTCTACAAAGTTGTTCTCTGCAGCAGAATGCATGTATGACACAAAGGCAGAAAGGAGATGATTTGGAGGGAGAAAAGGGGTCAGCATTAGTATGTGCCCCTCCATGATAATAAATGTGAAAGATTTCTGCTTCCGAGGCTGCTGAGATGACTTCAGTAGCTCAGAGTACACTGCTGAGTTCAGCTCCCAGCATCCACATCAGACTGCTCACAACCTCAGGGAACTCCAGGTTCCAGGGACCTGACCCCTTGTGGCCTCTAGAGGCATTTGCACACAGATGCACCTGCCCAGAATTAAAAATAAATCCTTAAACTCCTCTCTCCCCGGGGTCTTACTAGGTAGTCCTTGCTTACTTGGAACTGGCTATGTAAACCAGCCTGTACTCTAATTCAGAGAGCCACCCTCCTCTACCTTGCAGAAAAAAGCGTGAGCCACCTTGACCAGTTCATCAACACCTAACCTCTTACCAATACCCTGCAATCTTAGTTTTATCATCTGTAACATTAACCAACACCTATATCTCTCACATTATCTATGTAAAAGCAGAATGGAAAACAAAAGTAAAAAAACTAGGCTGGGTGGCATCTACCTGTAATAATCCACACAGAGGCAGGAAAAATGCCTTAACTTCCAGGCCAAACCAGACTACATGAAAACTGGTCTCAAAAAAAAAAAAAAAAAAAAAAAAAAAAAAAAAAAAAAAAAAGTAGGTGGTGGCTTCACAAGTGATCGCTACACTACAGAGGCAGAGGCAGGTGGATCTCTCTTTGAGACCAGCTTGGTCTACAGAGTTCCAGGACAGCAAGACAGCAAGGACTACAGAGAAAGCCTGTTGGGGGAGGGGGGGACTAAAAAATAAAGTGTGGGCTGTTAAATTAAATGGTTAAACAAATGTTAAACAAAACTTTACTTAGTGGCGATCATACATCAGAATCAGTATTTTTCAATACAGTACTTGTCCAAGGCACTACATGCATAGCTACCCTTCAAAAACAAATGGAGAGAGGGTGGGGAAGGAGTGGGAGGAAGAAATCAGAGCTGTAAACCAGGGGCAGGCCTGGGAAAAGGGCAAGAGAAAGGATACAAACTTTCAGTTCTAAGTTCTGGATACTTAATATACAGTACAGTAATCAATACTAATGTATATTTGAAACTTGCTGAGAGTAGACCAAGTGTTCTCATCAAAAAAGAAACTGAAGGGACCTGGGTGAGGCATATGCTAATTAATTTGACAATGGTAACAATTATTTCACAACCTCTGCATGCATCAAAATATCACGCCGCACATTTTTAATCTATAAATGATTATCTTGTGAGTCACATCTCAATAGAATAAAGCTAGAGAAAGGAAACAATATCCGGAGAACCAACCACCCCCCACCCCGAAAAGGATGAGGGTTGAGGGTTATACTAGAAAAAGTAAAGACATTGAAGGGCTACCGGTTCTTTGCAGAATCTGTTAGGGCACAGCTGAGATTTGCTGACTGCAAAAAAAAAAAAATCAATCACTAGAGAAGGGTAAATTTAGCCTAAATCCATACCATTCAGCAAAGAAAAGGGGAACGGAGATTCCAGAAAGCCTCAGAAACATTCCGACGGTACCTCCAGGAAAGTCTAAGGATGGGGGCGTTCCAACCTGGCCTGCACCTTGGCCACCCCACCTGCAGCGGGGCCTGGGAAGAGCAGGCTCAGCACAGGGTTGGATCGCCCGCCC